TCTTCCTCCTCTTTGTGGCAGCCCCTCAAATATTGGAAGACTGCTATCATGTCTCCCCTGGTCCTTCTTTTCGTTAAACTAGACATGCCCAGTTCCTGCAACTGTTCATCGTATGTTAGGGAACCGTTCCAGTCCCCTAAATCCTCTTTGTTGCTCTTCTCTGCACTCTTTCTAGAGTCTCAGCATCCTTTTTACATCATGGCGACCAAAACTGAATGCAGGTATTCCAAGGGTGGCCTTACCAAGGCCTTATAAAGTGGGATTAACCCTTCACGTGATCTTGATTCTCTCCCTCTGTTGATGGCAGGCTAGAATTGTGTTGGCTTTTTGGGGAGCTGCCACAGACCAAAAAAGCCATCCCAGTTCTCGGCTGCCTAAACAGAGGGGTGAATTCTTGAAACTGGCACGCAAGGAAGGCAGAGGAGGTTAAAGTCGTCCGAAGAACCCACTTTGCAAACTGGGTCCCGCAAATAACCTGTGAGGGACCCGCCCCAACGGAAAGATTTCAACTTTGACCTCCGAGACTACAAATCCCACCCCGTTACCTGCTGAGGCTCAGTGGACAAGCTCGAGGACTGGGGGTTCAGGAGGTGAGGTAGCTGCCATGGAATCTGAGCAAGGACTAGCTGAGAGGAAGAGTAAGGGGTGGACGTCACGGCTCCTGCAGTGGAAAAGACAGAAAAGCAAAGGCAGGATATGTTAAGTTCATCCAGTTTCCCCCCATCCACTTTGCTGGTCAGAAGCCCCCAAGGAGGGTTGTAAATTAGGATCATGTGACTGGTTGCAAATCATTTCAACTAGGTAACATCATCAGTGTTAAAAGGGAGTCGGGGGTTTGTGGAAAGGAGGAGGAGGAGGAGGAAGAGGAGGAGAAAAAGGAGGAGGAGGACTTGGTGCTCTCTGAGCTTGGTGGTTTCCTTGCAGACGTTTTGTGACCCAACTAGGTAACATCATCAGTGTTAAAAGGGAGTCGGGGGTTTGTGGAAAGGAGGAGGAGGAGGAGGAAGAGGAGGAGGAGGAAGAGGAGGAGGAGGGGGAGGACTGTGGGCTCCTTGGTGCTCTCTGAGCTTGGTGGTTTTCTTGCAAACGTTTCATGACCCAACTAGGTAACATTATCAGTGTTAAAAGGGAGTCAGGGGTTTGTGGAAAGGAGGAGGAGGAGGAGGAAGAGGAGGAGGAGGAAGAGGAGAAAAAGGAGAAGCAGGGGGAGGACTGTGGGCTCCTTGGTTCTCTCTGAGCTTGGTAGTTTCCTTGCAGACATTTCGTGACCCAGCTAGGGAACATCGTCAGTGTTGGCGAGAGTGGGGTTTGTTCCCTTCGGTGGTACAGATAAGTGGGGATTTGCACCAGAGAAGACATCAAGCAGAAAACAACCCCCCAAGCGAGGAACTACAAAGAAGAAAATCACACACACCCTCATCTAACAGGAAGCAAACCTCACACTCGCTGGCACTGATGATGTTATCTAGTTGGGTTAATGAAACATCGGCCAGAAAACAACCAAGCTCAGAGAGCACCAAGGACCCCAAGTCTTCCTCTTTTCTTCCCTTCCACTCTCTCCACCCCACTCCCTTCTAGCACTGATGATGTTACCTAGTTGGGTCATGAAATGTCTGAAAGAAAACCACCAAGCTCAGAGAGCACCAAGGACCCCAAGTCTTCCTCTTTTCTTCCCTTCCACTCTCTCCACCCCACTCCCTTCTAGCACTGATGATGTTACCTAGTTGGGTCATGAAATGTCTGAAAGAAAACCACCAAGCTCAGAGAGCACCAAGGACCCCACAGTCGTCCTGGTCCTCCTCCTCTTCTCTTCCTCCTCCTCCCCATCTTCTCCTCCCTTCTCCTTCTCCATTCCACAAACCCCACTCCCTTTTAACACTGATGATGTTACCTAGTTGGGTCATGAAATGTCTGAAAGAAAACCACCAAGCTCAGAGAGCACCAAGGACCCCACAGTCGTCCTGGTCCTCCTCCTCTTCTCTTCCTCCTCCTCCCCATCTTCTCCTCCCTTCTCCTTCTCCATTCCACAAACCCCACTCCCTTCTAGCACTTATGATGTTACCTAGTTGGGTCATGAAATGTCTGAAAGAAAACCACCAAGCTCAGAGAGCACCAAGGACCCCNACCTAACCCTAACCCTAACCCTAAACCTAACCCTAAACCTAACCCTAACCCTAAACCTTACCTTAACTTAAATCGCGCTTCTGTCGGCGCGCTGTTGTCGGCGCACTGTTATCGGCGCGCTTTTGACATTGCGGTTTTAGCGCCACAGTTTTGTCAGCGCGCTTTTGATGTACATATTGTAGGAGATATAGGAAGCCCACCCAGGGTCAGCCACAAAGAACTCAAATGGCTATATTAGCATCAACACAATTGGGCCCAACATTTCTGTTGTTAAATACTCCTGTTCTGACCGAGGCTTCCCCAAAAAGCACGAAGAAGATTCTTGGTCCCCACAAAACCCCTTTTATTAAACGGATGTGAATTCCTCTCATTCACATTCAACCAAGGCCTGGGAAACAGTCTTTCAAAGGAGTATTTATGACCACAGACCTCATCTAGCTTGGAAAGCTGCCATGTCAATATTTTCCCAAATGAGGTGCTGTGCAAAGGAAAGACTGGGCACAGAGTCTCTGAGATCCACGGACAGATCTTCACACTCCTGAAATGAACTAACGAATGAATGAATGGTTTCCTGCGAAAGCCCCCTCCCCTTGCGTTCTTCTTTTATTTCCTATGGGAGGGGCCATTCACCGTCCACCTGTGGCTTTACTCCCAAGTCGACCCTGATTTCTCAGCTGTTCTTTTCTTCTGGCGGCTCTGCTCATGCTGGGAACAGGCTCCAGTTGTTCCTCTGCCTCACTGCTCTCTAGCTCCAAAGGCAGCTGAGAACTGCCAGGCGGCCTCAATCCCGTCTCTGCCTCCGACGCAGAGCCCTCGTCCGAGCCTTCCCCAACCTCCAACACTGGCCCATGTTCTTCCCCAACCTTCTCACTGTCCGACTCTGCTGCCAGCTCTGCTGGCCGCTGGTGGGCCACAACACCTCCCTGTCCCGTCCCCCCCCATGGTCACCAATGGTCAACAAGCCAGACTGGAAAAGGCTGCCTTACGAGACCTTCTTTGGATGTTTAATGTTTGTGTCAAACACGGCAACTCATTTGATAGGCGGCGAGAGGTGAAGAACATACAGAAATTCCTGTGCCTGAACTATCTGACCCGCTTCCGGAAAGATCTCGAGCGCATGAAACAGTCCGTGGTGGGCAAAGAGCCCGAGCAGGATGCAGAGTCGGAAAACTGGTAAAGGAGGGGGAGGGGCAGAGGGACGAGCTGGACTTTTTTTGTGGGGCGGGTTTTGCATAATTCTGCAGAAGAAAATCCAAGAATGTGCTCCTGGCATGATAAACCCTTGTTAATCACAAACGAAAACGAGCCCAAGTTCCTTAGCGGATCTGTTGTGTCTTGGGAAGACGAGATGTTTTCATGACCTTAAATTCAGGAGATTTTTGTCCGTTTTAATTCCAAATCTTGTGGCTTTGTGGAACTGTAATAGTTTCTGGGGGGATCAGGAAGATGTGGGGGGCGGTTTCCCTTAGAACAGTCTTGATTATTATCACTTGCATGCTAACATTGGGAAACTGCCAGACAGACTGGAAGGAGGAGTCAAGCAAGGCTCTAGCTTGGAATCCTTGTGTAGTCACAAGCAACGTAACTGGACCTCTCTGAAGATATACGAATCATTATCCGGTCATTCCCAGGGGAAGGCAAGCAGTCTAGGAAGATTCTTGTAACATAGGTGGTAGACAATAAAGTTGTTTAGTCTAGCTATTTACAAGCGGGTCGTGCTGTTTTTCTCTCGTTTTGGTCTTTTTTTTCCTCAAGGTTTTCCACTTTGCTGGAAAGGATTCCCGATGATATCAGGAGAGACCACCGTACCCAGAAAGTCCTCAAAAAGCTGGAAAGGTTCGCCAGGAATCCGGATTTACGCATCCGGCCTCCCACTTTTTTGAAGGTCTTGGGAGAACTTCGGATCTGGGAAATCTGCTCTCCGGACATCTGTGCAGCTGTGGAGGTGAGGGATGCGTGTGGGAAGGAGCTCGGCTGCTTCGGTCTTAAGATACAGAGGCTGCTTTCTGAACCCCTTTCATGCAGATTTTTAAAAGGATGGGTTCAACAGGTAG